TGAGGCATACAACTACATTATCTATAAACTGATAGAGGTGTGGAGAGGCGTGAAACTGTATCTTCATTCATACAAATACATGTTTAAGGAAAGGAAAGGAGATTGGGAAATCAGTCATTTCTTGGAGAGATATGGGGTAATGTACAGGAACACAAAGGTAAGCAAAGGGTTATTTACAAACATATCAGGAAAAATTGGCTTCTGGCTGCTGAAAAAGGAAGATTCCTGTTTACTATTAGGCAAAGGTACAAAAATAAACAAGTTGTCAAGTTAATCAAGTGTGTCCCTATGGATGAAAATGGGAGCAACCAGAAAAAAATAGAATTTTTCTGAGTGGTTTGTGGAATCAGATTCTTCACTTGATCTTAGCTAAAAGGCCCAGAAGCTATTGGAATCAGATTCTTTACTTGATGATCACATCCATATAAAAATCTCTTAAGAACTAACTAGCTGAGCTCATTTATAGTATTCTCTAAGAATTCGCAAGGGGGATAACAGTCCCACAAGCAAGTCACCTACAAAAAAAGATGAACTTGAATTACAAAAAGCAGAGATGAATTTTAGTGAACATTTTTCAAACCAACAGAAGTATGTAACAAAAATGTAAGGCTAATTAGAAATGGGAAGTTAAAGAAACTAAGAAATAGAAAGAAAAAGAATTTTAACATCACATTATATTCTTCTACAAACCTATACAAAGTTCTGATCTTTTAACACATCTAAAACCCCTCAAAAACCCAGTAAGTTAATGTGGAACTGTAAAATATGAGATATTCTCTGTAATTTTTAAATTACAGTGTTTTCAAACACTGTAAGAAGTCAGTTTTAAGAAATTTGCAACATGTCAAACTTTCATCTAATATTTCCTCAAAATCACTAAAAATTCTCCTTAAGCCATGTCAAACATCAACGGTTGTAGCAAATGGTGTAACAAAACACCAGTTTTTACTTGAACCATTCATTATTAAAGCATCCCTTACATAGAGGGAGCCAACTGTTAAAATTTGCACTTTTTCTATAAAATTACTAATTTCAAGAGCTAAAGTTTTTACTACTATGAAAGAATCTCACACCTCCCTTTCCTACAGTAAAAAGACTTATGAAAGGTAAAAACATATTTCCAATATATTTTTTGCTTAAACAAAAAAAAAAGTCATCTTAGAAGTCGATGGGAAGCTTTGGGAACACTTAGTTCATAATTACTGATCTTCAAAACCTGAATTTGACATTTCACCTTTATCTCTCCAGCCTTTCCAGATACAAAGGAGGAGATTCCTTACATGGATTCTTTCCTTTTTTTTTTTTTTTTTTTTT